TCCCTTCTAGTAATGCACCTGCCACAAAGGATTTAAGAGACATCGCGCCAACAGCCTCATCTAGTACCCCCCCCTCTTCAGGTTATGACCAAGCCAACAGCAAGATCACTTTAACCACTACATGGGCTGGGGTGGGGGAGAACCTGCATGTGTGAAAAACAAGCTTGTTAATTCTGTCTTGTATCTTACTTGGAATCCACATCAAGAGCGATCAAGGATCATTCTCTTTAAACTTCACTCCCAGCTGTATTAAATATACATGAAACAAATATGCTACAAGCTTTACAGAACCCAGAAAGAAAGAAAAAAGACATAGGAGACAACGCCATGCAGCAATTATGTCAAGACGGTTGGTAAATGTGCTTTAAAATCTACCTGACATTTATTTACACACACACACCCACACACCCATAATGCCTGATTTACAACAACATTACAGGCGTTTAAAATATCAACATCGGGGTTCATACTTCAGACTAAACCTGAAGTGTAGTTAAGGTATTAGTCTACATCAGGGGGGGTCTTCAAACTTGGCAACTTTAAGACTTGTGGACTTCAACTCCCAGAATTCCCCAGCCAGAAACGCTGTTTCAGCAATGAGAAACTCCTGGGTTAAAGGTATTAGTTAATATTTTTTTATTAATTAGTCTTGAGTCTTGACTATAGAGCTTACGGGAAGACTCTGGAGCAATCATTCTCTCTCAGTCTACCTCACCGGTCCGTGGCTGTAGGGAAAAACAAGAGGAGGAATATGTATGCCAATCTGAGATCCTTTTGAGTGCAAAATTGAGATACAAATCTAACAAATTTGAGTTATTTATAAAAATAATAGAGGCGGGATTAGAAAAATGTAAAATAAACGAAGCCAACCAGAACAAAACACACTATATTACGGCTTAGTATTCTGTGGCTTAGTATTCTTAATCTATGACTAAGGATATCAAGCCTAACCTACAGGGGCAGACAGACCATTGCAAATTTGGCCAAATATTCAGAGTCATGCCTCATCCCCATCATCCAAAATTCAATGTTGCCTTTAAGACTGTGAATTCAAATTTGGTCATGAATCTTTAAGGTGAGAGTCATGAGGACATTCCTGAATGCAGACAGAAGTCTGGCAACATAGGCACAAATTAACCCATCTAGGACAAATTGCAGCCCTTGGTACCTTATCATCAGGAACACATTGTGAATCCCAGCTTCACAATGTGAAGGGGAAGAGTGGAAAACAACCTTTGTTTATCCAGGCTCTTTATCACATGCCAGGGGCACAGCAAATGACTCATGTTAAAAAAAAGGGGTAAGTTTTAAATTTTTACACAGTTTTTAATTGCGAGAGCGGGGTGCAGTTTCCTGTACCACTGACAGCATTCTGAAATAGATGCATTGCTGTAACAGAAAAGTGATTAAAAATTACTTCCCCTTCCAACCAAGATTTTTTTTTAAAAAAAAAAAAAATAGGAAGTTTAAAGAGTCACCGAAGATGACATCCACTGGAAAGCAAAAGAGGCAGCGCGTTTCCAATCCTCACACAATTAATTTTAACTAATTTATATGCTGAAACACACATCCTATCTGAATTCTAGGATGGGGAAGGGGGTGACAACGTTCCCTGGGGGGAGGGTGAAGAAAGAACAAGCAGGTGTTCTCAATTTTAAAAAGAAAAGTCTCAAAAGATAAAAGTGGGAGAAACATCCTTGGGAGGGTATGGTGAAAGATCCTATTTAAACCAAGGGTTTTTCTGGAGGGGGGAGAGAGGGTGAAGACTAAAGCCCAAAGTTAATTCATACATGAGGGTCAGAGTGATGAGAAAGGTCTGGATTATGTCCAGATTATGTCAAACTATGCCATATCCCTTTCATGCTACTAAGGGTCTCCTGTCCACCTTCCCACAAACAATATTGCTTGCAGTTGACCAATTTTCTCGCTTCTGCCTCCATCCTGGTGACAAAGCTGTCCTCTTTTCAATTCATAAAACTGCAGAGTAAGTCCTTTTGCACACAATCTCTATCTCCCACTAGACTTTCTCCACCCCTGCCTCTTCCTCCTCCTCCATCCCTCCTTCTCTAAAGTTACTTCTCTCAAGACCACCAAGATTTCTCCCCCAAAATTACATTTCCTATCTTTTACCTGCTTCCAAGGCCTTTGTTCGCTCTCCCAGAGCACCCATTATTTGGTGTAAACCCCCCAAATCACTTTTCCAGCCCCATACCCCTGCTTCACTGCCCTCTAGTCCTCCCACACCTGGTTTCTCCCCCACTCTTTCAGCCTCTCCTTAAAATCCCCGATCTCTGCCAAATAATTTTACATATTCCCCATCCAGTTCCTCTCCTACAAATCTGCCTGCTGCATCCTATTGTAAATGTACTTTCCCCAACTTTTCATTCTTATACATCAGCAGCATTAACTCAAGTTACTCTCAGGGTCTCCATCCTGATTTTTTTTTCCATTCCACACCCAATTATCTCATCCTATGAACTTATGTACTATAAATCTGTATTATCCCTTTATGCTCTTCTCTGGTCACTCTACAATATACTGCTGACCCTAAACTATACAGATAGTCCTCAACTTACACCAGTTCATTTAATGTCCATTTGAAATTACAATGGCTCTGAAAAAAAAGTGACTTATGACCATTTTTCACACTTACAAGTGTTACAGCATCCCCTTGGTCACGTGATCAAAATTCGGCTGCTTGGCAATTGACTCGTATTTATGACGGTTGCACTGTCCTGGGGTCATGTGCTTCCCTTCTGCGACCGTCTGATAAGCAAAGTCAATGGGGGAGCCAGATTCACTTAACAACTGTGTTACCAACTTAACAACTGCAGTGATTCACTTAAGAACTGTGGCAAGAAAAGGGGCAAAACTCACTTAACAAATGTCTCACATAGCAACAGAAATTTTGGGTTCAACTATGGTCACGGACTGCGTGTAATGCTATAAGGATGATACTAGTGTGCATAACCCAGCCAACACATCAAAAATGCTTTTCCTAATAACAGAAAACCTATACTTTTAACCCTTCTTGGTTTCACCCCTAAATCCATTATTGTACCCCAATCCACATATTTCAATGTCGGCTATCCACACCAAGGCACGAAATTGTATACTGAGGACTCCGTGGTTATTTTTCAGCCTCCCAGCATAGATCTCCCACCATGTCCTCTAAACAAATACTGGTTCTGATGTGAATGTTAACAGTATTAATAATACAGTTGGTAGTTGGTTGATTTACTAACAGCTGACCAGTATCAATACATGTCATAATATTACAGGTAGTCCTCGACTTAGGACCACAATTGAGCTCAACATTTTTGTTGTTGAGACATTTGTTAAGTGAGTTGTGCCCCATTTTATGACCTTTCTTGCCACAGTTGTTAAGTGAATCACTGCAGTTGTTAAGTTAGTAACATGGCTGTTAAGTGAATGTGGCTTCCCCAGTGACTTTGCTTGTCAGAAGGTCTCAAAAGGGGGTCACACAACCTAGGGACACTGCAACCGTCATAAATATGAGTCAGTCGCCAAGCGCCTGAATTTTGATCATGTGACCACAGGGATGCCACAATGGTCCTAAGTATGAAAAACAGTCATAAGTCAGATTTTTCAGTGCTGTTGTAACTTTGAATGGTCACTAAAACAGTTTTCAGTCGAGGACCGCCTGTACTAACAGCCGACAGGTAACCTGTATCAATAAATGTCATATCATTAAACAACCTTTAGGATTACTCCTCCCCAAGATTCCTGTATGTATGTATGTGTGTGTGTGTGTGTGTGTACCCGAATACGCCAAGACCTGCATACCTGTACCCATGAAAATCTACGAAAATATGCATGCAGGTCTTGGCATATTCGGGTCTTTTCCCATGTAAGATTGAGAGTATCTTGGCGACGTTTCGACAAGGTCCCACTCGTCATCTTCAGGCTGGGACCCCAGCCTGAAGATGACAAGTGGGACCTCATGGAAACGTCACCAAGATACTCTCAATCTTACACGGGAAAAGACCCGAATACGCCAAGACCTGCATACCTGTACCCGTGAAAATCTACGAAAACATATATATAGTTTTTCAGACAGACCAGTCTGATTGATTACACCTTGGCATTTTAACTGCTATACTGCAGTTCTACTTTTTACAATATCTTTTGCCTTGCAGCCCCCCAACTAGGGGCGTTAAGCAGGCTCAAGTCGCCGGAGATATATATATATATATATATCTTGAGTTTGGTGCACCCTGTCGGCCCAAATATGGGAGAAAGGAATCTTTTTTTTTCCAGTTCTCCCTTAATTCTTTGTTAGCAATCCAAATTTTGAAATATATATATATGTATGTATGTATACACACATACATACATACATATATATATATATATTCATTCTAATATCAAGGCAAACAGGGCTACTTTAAACCTTCACTTCCAATTCAAATTCTACTATTTATCACTATCAGTAAACCAGTCTCCCCCCCCCCCCCCCCCGTCCCCATCATCCTTCAGCAGATATTAATCAGCCCGAATTGGGCCATCAGCGCCTCTGCGGACGACAGCCCAAGATCCAGACCCTCTTTTCCCCCAACATCGACCTAGTCATCGTCTCCCTCAGTAAACAGGAGCAACAACAAACCATGATGCCGCCTCCCCCCCCCACACACGCGGTTTTTGCACTCACGATCAGGGTCAGACTTGGGCAAAACAATGCAGGAAAGGATTGGCATCCTTCCCCACGTTCAGCCCCAGCCGCCCAAGGGCTCCTGAAGGGCCTCGGCATCCTCGGATGCTCTTCCACCCCGGGGGGGGGGGCGGGAGGAAGCAGCCCGGACCGGGAAGGGCGACCAGGTGGGGCCGGGCAGCCGAGCGCATCGCGGGGGGGGGAAGGGACGTCTCCCCGGACGACGAAGGACGAGCCCCCTCCCCTGCTCGCGCGAGGAGGAGACCCCGGGGGCCCCCTCCCCAGGACCCGGGCGGGGGGGGGAGATGGGGCCGCTCACTCCGCTCACCTCCTCCTGCCGCCGAGTCCGGCGGCGCCCCCCAGCCGCCCGCCTCGGGGGTGACGGCTCCGGCTCCCGCTTCGGCCCCTCCAGCGGAGCCCGTCTCGTCGGACGCCTCCAGGTCCATAGCTGGAGGAGGCCCCGGCCCGCGCCCGCCTGGCTTCGCCTCGCCTCGCCTCAGCCGCGACCCGCCGCCGCCGCTTCGGCTAAGCAGAAGGAGAAAGAGAGAGGGGGGAGGGGGGAGACCGGGCGGGAGAGGACTCGGCGGCAGCGCGCAGGCGCTAGCTCGGCGGCCGGATCGCGAGGTCGGAAGGCTAGAGCGGCCCCGCCAGGGAGCGGAAGAGGAGGCTGTTCCTGTTCGGCCATCCCCCCCTCCACGATAGGTTCCGGCTTGGTTTTGGAACGTTGGGGAGCTAGGCTGGGAAGGGGACGCTCTGGGAAGCTGGCGCTTTTCTTTTGAGCAGGTGGTGCAAAGTTGCTTGCCAGAAAGATAGTTTGCACTCGCAGAACGTCCAGATTGGGGGGGGGGGGGGGGGGGGGGGGGGGGGGGGGGGGGGGGAAGGAGAGAGAGAGATGTTGCATTTTTCTCCCCGAGGAATTTGAGTTTGCAAACGTGTTGTGCGTTGCTATTGTTTAATCACGATTCGTGGCGTAAACCACAGTGACTGGTTTTGCGAACAGCTATAAATCCTGGTCTACTGTACAACATCCTAATGAGGAGGAAGGACTCACTGGAGAAGGGCCTAATGCTGGGAAAGATTGAGGGCAATAGAAGAAGGGGACGACAGAGAATGAGGTGGCTGGATGGAGTCACTGAAGCAGTAGGCGTGAACTTAAATGGACTCCAGAAGATGGTAGAGGACAGGAAGACCTGGAGGAACGTTGTCCATGGGGTCGCGATGGGTCAGACATGACTTCGCAATTAACAACAACAACTGTACAACTTATGTGAATCCCAAAAGTGCTTTTTTTCACGAGGCAACTGGACTTTCTTGTTTTTCTTTGAAGACGTTTTGCTCCTCATCCAAGAAGTTTCTTTAGCTGAAGTCCAGTTGCCTCTTGAAAAAGCACCTTTGGGACTGCCATGACTTGGATCACTGAGAATCTCCATCAACATATGTGAAATTAAACCAATCACCTGAGGGCTTAGCAGAATGTTCAAACGAGGATCAAATCAGAACTGCATTATCTGTTGTTTCAACTTTGCCTGTTTACATGGGCTATTTTTTGAGAATAAACCTAGAAATCACTAGCAGGGCCACACTAGATCTGTCAGTTCAGAACAAATATTTGTTATCTGTTTATGCTTTTTAATAAAAATTGTTAGCTGGAAAAGCCAGAGGAGAGCCATATTGATCTATGGTGACCAAAAAAAAAAGGAGGACTTGGGTAGCACCTTATTTGTGTATCCCTTGGAACAGTTTGCAGTATATATTAAATATAAATATCAGAGCCCTCCTGATTTTTTTGCCACCATACACTAAAACAGCTCTTCCCCCTACAACTCAAGAGCATCAATTATATCTTTGCAAACCAGGAATTCTGCCCAGTATTTATTGATGTTTATTGATCATTTAAAATTGTAAAACTGCTTGCTTATTGACCACTCTAGGCAGCTGATAACAGATCTGTGGTGGGAAAAATAATTTTTCCTCCCTGTCTTTTGGAAGTGACCAGACTCAAACCCATCCCCTGACTTTGCTAATCCTATCAAATCCAAATTGACCCTCTAGTGCAGTGGTGGCGAATCTATGGCACGCGTACCAGAGGTGGCACTCGGAGCCCTCTCTGTGGGCACACATGCCATTGCCCCAGCCTCGCCTCCCCCGTGACCCCTTCCTCACCAGCAGCCCCCCTGGAGGAGAGTCACCCCCGAGTATGGCCCACGCGAAGCAGCACAGCCAAGGACATGGCAGCCAGGCAGCATAGACAAGACTCTGCTTTCATGCCCCATCGCGCACAGTTGATGCTGCAGGGCGTGGGCAGAGGGCGTGGCCGCCATGGCACTGCTGGGCTGCCTGGGCGATCTGCGGCGGGCCCTGGAGGCGGTAAGTGGCCCTGTGGGCAGGCGGGGCAGGGGATGGGGTGGGGGCAGAGCAGGGGGGAGAATGGGGGCGGGGCCAGGTTTTGGGCACTCAGTCTCTAAAAGGTTCGCCATCACTGCTCTAGTGGTTAAAGCACTGGGCTAGAAACCAGGACGCTGAATTCTAGTTGAGCCACCTGGATGACCTTGAGCCAGTCACAGCCTCTCAGCCCTAAGAAATAGGCAATGGCAAATCACTTTTGAAATGTTGCCAAGCTGCGAAGAAAACTGCAGGGACTTCTCCAGGCAGACCCTAGGAATCACAGAGACACACACGGACAGACCAGCTCAAGTAGAACCCTAGGGCAGTCTAGGAAGAAAATCACAACATATTAACAAACTGAGAATCCCCAACAGTCTATCCTTAATCAGGGATACCCCTCCCCCCAATATCTCAACATCTCTTTTAACAAGGGTCTTCCCTGGCTGTTTGCCTAACAATAACAATCACTCCAGGGATACTGACAAGGAGCTGTCAAACTTCCCCCAAACTGGCCAGTAAATCAGATCCTGAAGATTGCCCACCTTGTAGCCCTCAATACTTATTAAAAATATATATATTGCTTTCCCATTGTTTGGCCCCCGAAGGGATCATTGTAATAAAGGGGGGGGGATTTCCTTTTTTTTAGTATTGTGCTCTGAACTTCAGAATATTTCACAAAAGATTGAAAATCTGCCCTTTGGAACATCTTATCATGTAAAATAAGATCTGCCACCGCTTTACCATCTTTCCCCAAGAGCCTGAAGACCTGGCTCTGCTGGTTGGCCTGGGGCCCAAATGTGGGAGATGGCTGCTGGATTGATGGCAGCGTCCCCCTCCCTCCCCCTTGCTCTCTGCTGTCCACCCATCCATCTTTTGGGTTATCATATTGGTGTATTCTCATTGTGTCACTTTACATTGTTTATCTCGTTGTTCTATTATTTTACTTCTGTTTACACTCCTTTTCTTGCCGTCCTTTTTATTGCTGTAAGCCACCTAGCAAGATAGGTGGCAAATAAATTTCAATCAATCAATCAGAATAGAGCTGGAAGGGACCTTGGAGGTCTTCTAGTCCAGTCTCCTGCTCAAGCATATACAATTTGAGACTAGCACGGTAGCTGTCCAATCTCTTCTTAAAAACCTCCAGTAATGAAGCATCCACAACTTCTGTTTAATAAATAACCTTTATTTAACAAATAAATAAAATAAATATATAATAAAATAAAATGCTACATTAAAATCACTTGTAAAAGACTGTTGTGCCATGCACAGAAAAGAAATGAACCCTTAGCCATACATATAAATATATTACTGAATATATTTACTGAATTAGGGGACCAGGGGCTAAATACAGGGGTCTTCAAACTTGGCCCTTTTATGATTTGTGGACTTCAACTCCCAGAATTCCTCAGCCAGCGGGCCTGGATGAGGAATTCTGGGAGTTGAAGTCCACAAGTCATAAAAGGGCCAAGTTTGAAGACCCCTGAGCTAAAACGAACGAAGAATGGTTGCAGGGATTGGGTATGTCTCAGGATAGTGTTGCAGGATCCAATCTGGGTTGATCACTGGGACTAGAGTTTTAATCCTCTGAGCTTTTGGACTCGTGCTGAAACCCATCCTCAGGGAACTTCTCTCCAGAGCGCCAATTGTTTATGTATTTGGAGCTATTGCAGCAAAATGTTCCTGGTTTTGCAGAATTATTATGCTTTCCTCTGTTCACCTTGGAAAGAGTGACATCTTCTGGTGGATACCACTCTCTGTATCTTTTTATTTGCTTTGTTTTATTTTATTTTTTTAAAAAGGTGAGGTAAAGGAGTCTGTGCAGATTTTACTCCGCTAGTCGTTGCCAACTCTAGGGGGCGCTGCTCATCTCCATTTCAAGGCCATTGAGCCAGCGCTGTCCGAAGACGTTTCCACGGTCGTGTGGCCAGCATGACGTTTTTTAAACCAGAAAGATTAAAAACTAATAAAAATGAATCGTTAAGAGAAAAGCTGACCTCTTTCTTACTCTAAAGTTATAACTTTCATTTTTTTTCTATTATTTTTCTATTTTTCTATTATTATCTTAAGATACAGAAGGATCTGGACAGACTTGAACACTGGGCACTATCTAACAAAATGAAATTCAATGGTGATAAAAGCAAGGTTCTACATTTAGGCAAGAAAAACCAATTGCACAAGTACAGCATAGGTGGCACCTTGCTCAATAGTAGTAACTGTGAGAGGGACCTCGGAGTCCTAGTGGACAATCACCTAAATAGGAGCCAGCCGTGTGCTGCAGCTGCCAAAAAGGCCAACACAGTGCTAGGCTGCATTAACAGAGGNAGCGGTGAATGCTCCAACACTGGAAGTTTTTAAGAAGAGACTGGACAACCATTTGTCCGAAATGGTATAGGGTTTCCTGCCTGAGCAGGGGGTTGGACTAGATGACCTTCAAGGTCCCTTCCAACTTTACTATTATTATTATTATTATTATTATTATTATTATTATTATTATTATTATTATTATTATTATTATTATTATCTACTATTTTTTTCTAATCGTCAGATCCATGCATTATAATTTTATTTATTTTTTGTTTCACACATAAAGTCCAAAAGGGGTTTCCAATCAATATTAAAAGGTATCAATATTTGTTCTCTAATCAAAGCTATCAATTTCATCATCTCAGCCAGCCCCATCAATTTCAACATCCATTCCTCCACTGTAAGTAATGTTGAAGCTTTCCACCATTATACATATAGCATTTAGCAATAGCAATTAGGCTTATATACTGCCCCATAGTGCTTTACATCACTCTCTGGGCCGTTTACATTGTAGGCATTATTTGCATATTAACCCCCAACAAACTGGGTCTTCAGTTTATCAACCTCAGAGAGATGGAAAGCTGAGTCAAACTCAGGATCGAACCAGATAAGATAAGATAAGATAAGACGATAAGATAAGATAAGATAAGATAAGATAAGATAAGATAAGATAAGATAAGATGCCCTTTATTGTCATGTTTTTTACTGTGGGCACAATGGCACACATCAAAAATGAAATTTAGTTGCCCGCTCTCAA